GAGATATGACACAAAGGACATTTAACAACTGTTGGGAGTGCCACCAGCAGACAGAGAGACCTCAGTTGTCAATCCCCTTTGCGGATTATTACCTTTGGCTAAAGACAGCAGCTTCTCCGAAAGCTACAACTCTTCCATGGTTGGCTTGTGTCTCTTGATGAATTCCCGTACAGAAAAGCCTAGCTGTCTTTCCCTATCCTGGGACAGCTCTGACTAGTCACTCAGTCTTCAAAATGATCAATAGATGGCTGAGAATTCCCTTGAGATGATACTGTAGCTCAACTTTACCATCTATCTAATCCTCTTCTTCCTTTCCCTTCCTCAAATAAAAAAAGGATATTATTCAAAATATATGCTACAAAGTGTCAACTATGCTGAGTTAACATAATTAATGATTGTGAAAAACAAATGAGAATGGGTAGTCTCTGTTTTAGGAAAGTTTGTGTAAGATAAATAACCGCAGAGGGCATTTTTAATGACAAAACGGATGGAAAAGAGTGTTTGGACATAAATATGACTGTGTAGGTCTAACTGGCCAGGCAGTTAGAGCCTGAATCTCAGATGTCAGAGGCTATACAACCTTGGGCAAGTACCGTCTTTTGGGATCAAGTAATCCACCAGGATCTTTTCAGCAATTACAGCTATTGCTCAGTACTGTCCCATTTAAAACCAGGAAAACAACAGTATTGAAAATTATTCCACTAGTAGTACTATGGCAGGTGTGCCCTATTCCTGCCTTTCTGCAGCTTAATGAACCCAAGTGCCAGAGTGATCCTTAGAGATTTATTTCCACTGTCCCCAAGCCCAGCAGGGAAGGGAAAGCTAAGTACACCTGTTGGTACTCAAGGGAGCACTACCACAGAAACGATGTGTTAGGCCAATTCTGCCTGCCAATGTTTGCTTAAATGAAATCTCATTTTCACTGGCCTCCATCTTTGGTTTTCATTTCGCTGCTTTTACTCTGCTTTGGTCCCTTAAAGGGCAAATGGTTTCTGCTTGAGCAAAGACCACCCACACCCTGAAATGGCAATAGGGCAAGGAGTCAGACAGGCACTGTCTCTTTTCCTTCTGTTTCCCCCCTCACCTCCCTCTTCTCTCTCTCCTCCTATCTCATGTGTGTCTGTTTCTCTGCTTTCTTTAAATTTCTCTCTCCCTTTCTTTCTCTTCGCCTGTTGTCTGTCTGTCTCTCTCTCTCCTTCTCCCTCCTTGTTTCAGGGTGTATGTGTCTGTCTGTCAGTCATTCTTCCCTCTATGTTATGCATGTGTGCTTCCTGTCTTTCTTCCAGTTTGCCTTCTCTGTCTCCCTTGCTCCTTTCTCATGTGGCTTTTCGGTAGTACACCTAGACTGGGAGCTAGGAGACCTAGCTTCTGGTCCTAGCACTATCATTAACTGGCTGTGTGGTTATGGCCAAGTTACTTTACATCTCTGGGCCTCAATTTCCTCAACCATAGAAGAGGTTAGACTGGATGCTCTTCCGGGTCCTGACAGCTCTGAGATATTAGCACTAAATGAAATGGAACTCAGCAGACCCATGAAACAGTTGCTGTTGTAGAGAAGAGGAGAATCATGCTGAGTGTCCCAACAGCACAGGCACCAGGGGGCGCCCAAGCACCACTCAAAGAGGATGTGACCAACAACCTAAATGACACTAATGGATGATTTACTACAGGCTAGGAAGGCACTGCGCTCAGCACTGTACTTGCATGTCATTCAGTCTGATGAGATAGATACTATGATTGTTCCTACTTTAGAGGTGAAGAAATTGAAGCACCAAGGGTAAATCAACTTGCTCAAGATCACACAGCCAAGATCTGTCAGAGCGGGATTGAAACCCAGGCTGTCTGCCTCCTGAGCCCGTTCTTGCTGAATAACTAATAATCTGTGATTCTGTATGGCCCCAGCCTCTGATTCTTGCTCACAAGCTTCCCATGTAGGCTGCTGGGATAACATCTCTGGAACCCAAATGTGCTCAGGAGTTTTAGATCCAGACTATACTGGTTCAGTCAATTCTCTCAAGACACCAACTCTGACTTTTCATGTCTCTGCCTAAACTATTCCATCAATACTCTATTGCCCTGCACATTGACTGGCATGCTTTCGTAGAACTTTTCTTTACATTTGCAAATGTGTATGTCCTATGCCATTCTAACTACCCAGGCATCGTGCCAGAAGCTAGAGAAGTACTGGGCCAACTGCAGAGACTCAAGCTTGCTGAGTAACTGATGAGCACCGGGACACCATGTGAACACTAAGAATATGTTTCTGTGTCCTCTGTCTCTGGGCTGTAAATATCTAGAATCCTCAAAGTTTTCACATCACAATTCCTGCAGGCAGACTCCAGTTACTCACTGGCAACTACTGAATGTGTTTGAAGGGAGGGTTAAATGATGTTCATTTCACAGAAGCAGGAGCTGGGGTACTCCAATGATAATTTTGGCTAATGTAAGCAAAAGTAAAGAGAATCCCAGCTTCATACCAGACACAGCTAAGAGCTGTAAGGGCATAGGAAATAAGAAGCCATGGTTCCTACTCTTAAGAAAATACTGGAATAGAAGAGATAAAACATGCAGAATCAATAAGTATAAAAAATAAGAATATAAACAAGAATATAAAATATACTAAAAAGGATAAATATATATAATTTTTGGGGAGTAAGGAAATGAAAGTCCAAGTCCTTCGCTTTAACCATTTTAACCATTGAGTGCATATGTCCAGCACCCATCCGAAACACCAGCTCAGACACCAGTTGGGCACTAATGGTTGTCTGGATGTCATGTAAGCATTTGAAATTATCACCAGGTTTTGTAACCCTTCTTTTTCACTTTTTTTTTTTTTTTTTTTTTTTGTGAATCTGTCCCATTGTCAGATATGTGGTGCAACAGAGAGTGGGTGGGACAATGGGTGAATGAAGTCATATTCACATAACCTGAAAAAGACAATGGAATTAACCATCCTGGAGAATTCAGTCTCATGGGAATCCAAACCCCCATCACATCCACCTCATAATTTTCTGCTTGCTTTTCCTCAGTGCCAACAATTTAATTTGTACAGCAGAGATAAATTAATGGGGTTTCATTTCCAGAAATCCTCCCATTTTTAAGAGTATGATATAGAATAGCCACAGATGTAATTTTATTACACTTCTTCCTAGCTTTAGTGTAGATGTCATAGTGGCTACGGGATAGACTAACAATTCCCAGATAGTCCAAGTCTGGATGTTTCCCTCCCATTGGGGAGGCCTTTTGCTTGCCCTCCTTGCAGTTCTTCTGCCCCTTCCAGCACCCATCCTAATACAACAGCCATGAAAACAGAAGGAGGGCAATGAGCACATCAAGAAAGTTGCACAATCCATAGACCTGATAATTTCCAAGAGCCACTCAGAGTTCACAGAATAGTATCGCCCACTCTGTGTGCCTTTGGAGGCCGGCACTTCCCTCTGCCTCATTCACAGACAGACTACATGCCCTCCTGTGCTCAGGGATGATGTATTTCTCTGGACAGCTCCAGATGGCAGAAGCAGGCAACAGACTCACTTGCTTCTCCATTCCCAGCAGGCCCCGCAAGAGTTTCCAAGTTGGGGATGCACTTCAGCAGTGCCATCTGTCCTGAGGCTGAGGCATTGCCTCTAATGACTCAATCAATGCCCCAGTTAAAGAAGGGGGACTGCAAGGAAGTTAGGGTAGCCCAGGGACAGGGGACACTCCGGGAAGCCTGTTTACTCCTGGGACTCGCTGCACAGCAACCCTGTGCCCAGAGGGTGTCACAGCCAGTGATAGGAAGCCTTGCTCTCTTCCCATCCTGCCTCTTTCCCACCACCAGGGCCCCTCCCAAAAACAGCTGTGAAAAGAATCAGCACTCCGAAGACATGTTCAGCTGGCTCTCAATTTTCCATGTACAGGGTGGGGAAAAAGTAAGTTTACAGTTGCTCATATGGAAAATAATAAGGAAAATACTAAAATAATTAGTAAATAATAATAATACAAGAATAAACTCTGTATTTTGTGGACTCACAAAGGTAGACTTGTGCCCCACCCTGTATATTTTGATGCACTTTTGGATTACACCTGGTCAATATCACAGAAGGGATGGAAGGAGAGTGAAACATCATTATATATGTATAATTTTGAAATTATGTGGTGGTTACAGAAAAGTGTAATAACATGAGTGCCCTTACCCCTGTCTCTCACAGTGAACTAGCAGGGAGGTGATGCAAAGCCTCCACCTCAGTCCTCAGCTCCCAACCAGCTCGCCCTCCTCTAATATAGCAGTCCTCAGAGCAAAGCCCCCGAAAATCCCCAGGGAGACAGATAAAGTATGAGAGAAAAAGAATGGGTTATTTCATCCAGTAGGGCATTTGTGGCAAGACTGCCCTTTAAAATTAAAAAAACACAACCATATCTTTATTATTTGTGGTTTAAAAAAAGCCACCACTGGTATAATAATGCAAAAAAGACAGATTAAGCCTGAAATAACCTCGAATTACGGGACATACAGTCATTAACAACCAATGTTTTAGATCAGGTTTCCCAAGTCCAGTCTCACCAAAGAATCCTCTAAAGGCCCTATATCTCACCCCAAACCCCTACTTTAACAGGCCACCTGCATCCATGATAAAGAAATAAAGTTGTTTTATATGGGGTCCAACCTAGACAGTGCCCAGATAACTCCTAGGCCGGTGAATTGTCCAGAAAGCTCATGAGTGAGGGTCAAGCTCTCCTTAAAGGAAACTGTATCATATGACCGCAAGGCATTGCTATTTTTCAGGCTGAGTCTCCCTTCTCAAAGCCACAGGGCGAGAAGGCCCCTTCTATAAAGCTGCTTGGGTAAGAAGGATGCAATTAACAAGTCCAGATGGTTTTACTCGGCGGGGAGGACGGAGATGTGGGGCTGAATTGCCCTCTTCTCCTCATAAATCAGGTGATCCCAGGCCTGATCAGCCAGATCAGAGACTCAGCCATCTGCCTGGCTGGGATGGATGCTAGGTGGAGGGGCTTGTTACCTGCTGAACGTCCTGCTGGAAAACGCAGAGCTGCAGCCGCTGGTGGAGCCGCACCTTGCGGTGCTGCCAGATGCTCTCAAGTCGCCGCTGATGGTGCAGCACCTCATGCACCACATCCAGTACCTGGTGCACTGCCTTGGAGTAGTTGGCTGTGGCCGTGAGGGACTCAGAGTTCCCAGGACTCAGGGGACGCTGAAGCACATCCAGCAGGGCTTTGCCATCCTGGCTGACCTGCAGGAAGGGAAGAGGGTCACGCCAAGGGAGTGGAGTGGCAGACAGGGCACAGAAAGGATAGGATCGTCTGCTTGGGGCCCTACACTAAGACTAAGGATCTCGGTCCTAACCAGACCCATGACAACCAAGGAATGGGCCAGCCAGAGCTGCCATGATACCCAGCCTATAGCCCACGGGAAGCAAGAGGACCCCGGAATCCTGGGGCAGAGGAGCTCAGGGGTAGCGCCCAGGTGTCTCTGACACTCTTGAGTCAGTCTCTCTCCCCTTGAATTTTAGCTCCATGAGGGCAGGGACTGCCTGTCTCCTCAACATCTGGAACAGTGCCTGGCACATAGTACTTGATAGATATTTTGATTGACTCACTGACAGGTCAGGCAGCAGAACTTCTCTTCTTCACCTTCCTCTACATGGCTCCAAATTTCTAGATGTGTGATCAGAGACAAGTTGCCTAACAGCTTAGGGCCTCAGTTTCCTTGCGTGAGGAACTTGTACAGGTAGTAATGGTACATACCTCTGAGTTGTGGTGAGGATTAAATGAGTTAATACACGCAGGGAACTTAAACTAGGGCCCAGCACATTGGATTGGCTACCAATTCTATCTTCAACATCATCATCATAATCATTATCATCATCACCATTTCTCTTTCCTGTCTTCTTTATTTCCTTGTCATTTTCTTCTATATTGATTCTTCTTGTGCTCTCCTTCTAGACAACTCCCTTTTTTTCATCCTGAAAGTGGTGCTATCCCCATCTTTTCAGAATATGCAGAGCGAAGGAAGGGCCCTAAGGTTGAGGGCACACCATCCAAGCTCCTGGGTTCCCTAACACTCACTCTCAGTGCTGAGACCAGTGGGGGAGACATTCCCTGTCATTCCTCATTGGAATCCTGGCATAATTATGGTCACCAGGAATTCTGGAAGTTGGCACCACACGATTGACACCTGTGGGTCTCCAGTGCTTGAGATGTGTCTTTCAAATTTAATACAATGGTGACGAGAGGATTGATAGGAATTTTAAAACCCTAAATTAATTTGGTTAACAATAAAATCAAAGTTGGTTTGCAGTGAAATGGTCTTTTCCTGCCAGCAAGATGTGGAAGCAGATGTGCTCCCACCTCCAGCCTTATGACAACAAATGGGAAGCTCTTGGCTGGCTCACAGCCTCCTCTCACCCCACCTCCATATCCTGGTAAGAGCTTGGGTAGGGGTTCAGGAACAAAGAGGCAACTATCTCCTCCTCCTGCTCATGGGGCCACAGAAAAGCCTGTGGGGCTGGAGTGTGATTAAGAGGAGGGCTAGGAGAGGGCACAGCTGAGGTAAGAGAGGAAACCTGGCTGTAGGAATATGGCCCATTTAGGTGACTACCACTACCCACCCCAGTCCACCATGCCTGCCTCTTATAACATTCTTCCAGAGACATGAACAAGAAAAATATCCTGTGGCTAAACCCAGTAGAGGTGTCTTCAGGGAATTCTAAGCCAGTGTTGTCTCTTGGCACTGTGATATGTCCAGGGTGGTCAGAGGTGGAGGGTCAAGTCCTGAAACCAAGTCTACATGAGTTCTGTCCTTGGTCTCAGCCCACATTTGTGGGAGGGAGAGGTGGCCCACTGACCTCTAAAGTGGGCTTGAAGGGACTGTCTACATCCCACAATTCTAGGGTCTGAGAATAAATGGGGTGAAATATTACATCTACATTTATATTTACACTCACACCTTATAGATGTGGCACATGAAAGTACAATATTAATATCATTTGTGTGCTCTATTTTTGTATATTTTATAGTAGTAAATTTAGAGATTCTTGACCCCTGGGCAGAGACACAATTCTGTTAAAAGAGAAAGCCTTGTGCCATTTGGGTCAAAACTGATGAAATGAAAATTGGCTCACGAGCCTTCCTCTCTGCCTCCTGTAATGACAAAACCTGTTACCATTTTTAGCATTTATTATTGCCAGGCACACTGCACCAGGTGCATTACATGCATTATCTTTATAACTCGTAAAGCTCCGGTGAGGCAGGTATTATCACCTTTATTTCACAGAAGAGGAAACTGACGCTTAGAGTGGTTAAGAAACTTAACCTGAGGTCATACAGCTGGTAAGGAAGCCAAGATTCAAACCCAGTTTTGACAGTGGCAAAACACATGCATCAAACTTATCTTGGATAATATTTAGTAAAATGCAAGTTCCATGTTCCACTTGACTTTCTGATTCAGTCTGGGGTGGAACCCAGGAATCTGGACCCCTACCAAGACCTCAGGTGAGTCTGATGCCTGTGGTCCAAGAACCTACTTTGAGAATAGTGTTCTAAGTGACCTTGCCCTGAAAGGAATCCATGGGCCAGATATGAATTCACTTTCCCCTCCTCATTCAGTTTCCTTAATCAGTCCATTTCTTTACATCCCTCAGTCCCTTCCTTCAGAATTCATGCCAGTTAGCAAACCTACTTAACTTGCGTACATCCACACAGATGCACCTATAATCCTTTTTCCTTTTATTTTGAAAGAAACAAAGACCAAGAAGTTTTTTCCCCTTCTTAACTTTGAATAATGTCCCCAGCCTTGGATTTTTCAGTGGAAGAGTCTTTTAGTTTGTTTTTCACTTCCATGGCAACTTCTCCTGCAAACACTTATGTGAACCCTATGGTGAGTTTTCCTCTGGACCTTCTGGTTGTGAGCTGATTCACAAAAGAGGTTGCAGGCTGCTGTATACCATCCAGAAAGCAAACTCCAGAGGAGCAGTGTTGCTTTCATATAGTCCTTCCCCAGGGAAGAGAGTCCAGTCTTCACACATGTCCAAGGTGGTAACTGCTGATGGCCCCATTTATTCTGGTTCCTGGCTGCAGACAGCATCATTCATACATCAAAGATCTTAAAAAGCCTCCAAAGAGAGAAAAATAGCATCTGTTCTTCTTAGTCCAAACTAGGCTTTTCTATAGTACACAGGCCAGTGTTCTCACCACCCACCCATATACATACACACTCTGGACCCTTGGGTGTCCTGCTTGGTTCTCACCTCTGTGTAGGCCTGAGTCATCTGCTCATACAAAGACTGGTGGTGGTGGATTGCCAGCTCCAGGTCCTGCATCTCGGATGGTAGGCCACCTTCACTGCACATTTTGCACCAGGCGTCCACTCCTGACAGAAACTGGAAGGAAATGCCAGCTGGGTCAGTGTGGGGCACTGGGGGTGGGCAATGGGCAAATCATGCAGAGACGGTCAGATACCTTGGGAAGAAGCATCAAGACCTCTGGAAGCCTAGAGAGGCCACTGCAGAGGGTGGAGGTTTTTCTTGAATTGTACAAATGTTAACTCCATGTTAGAAATCAGACCCAGTACCTGTTTAAGAAGTGTGATTTCCACAAACAAAGATGACTATTATGAAACTGCTGGGGTGAGAGCCATCTGCATGTTCAACAGATTATATCCACACGTTAACTATAAAATACAGGTATGCAAACAGCTCATTATGTTACATGTATACATTAGGGCTGCTTGTCATGTGCACACTCACAGGCACATGTGGGGGGTTACATTTAATGGAATGGAATGTTTCCATACAGGTACTTTATAGTATATATATTCAGTTGTGAAGAGGAGAAAAAACATATCACACAGGCCTCTTGGGCCCCTCGGGGAACTTGCAGGGACCATTCCCACAAGGAATAGAAATTAACCCTCAAGGAGGTCCCTACTGTTGGGTGAGTGGAGGAAGAGGGGAGGGGCAACTTAGGGGGACAGGCTGTACTGGGCCTATCATGGCAGTAGCTCCTGGAATGTGATATATAGATATAGATCTTGACAGATATCAAATTATTTAAAAATGAAAATTAACAACTGCAGAAGATTATAGGTTTCTGTGCAAAAATGGTGAGCCAACTGAAATCACTCAGATTTATTAGGTGGAAAAATACACCTTTAAAATGCAAATAATTTTTCACCCAACAGTCTGAAATGGTTTTGTCTGTGATTCCTCTTGCCTGAGTACACAGCTCCATTCAAATTAATTGCCTAGATACCTTTTTATCTCATTGTCTAGAACAGCCCACATGAGGACAATAAAGAGCTGCTTAAATAAATGCAGTGAAAAAATAGGCTTGAATCTGTTGTTTGGTGTGTGTTTTTTTTTCCTTCTAGCTAGATAGAAACTCATAGTTTATAAGTTTCCCTAAAGTACTGGTAATACCTGAGAAAACTGCATTAAAAACAGATACAAAAAAAAATTGCTCCTGATCCAAACTAAGTCCGGAAACATCAGTGAGAAGCTGACTCTCCCAGCTACTCTCAGTTCTGGCACTGCATTTTCTGTACACATACACACACACAAACACACACATATATCATAAACTTTACTAACACAAGAGATATATAGCACATAATTTACACAAAATAATAACATGCACAATGCTCTTTATTGTAAATTCCAAGTAGCCAATTGATTCTCACAGGATGATTTTGTATGTGACACACCTGTATAGTTTTGACATGAAAGCTGGCTGATAGTTTCACTTATGATGGAGTAAGACAAAAGTAAAAATACCTCAAGACTTAGGTCAGAACATTACTTGTTCATCCATGATGTGAGTGACTTCTGTGCAGAATGTAATGATAGTTTCTGGATATCAGAAGAATATTTCCTCAATTCTGTGTGCCATTCATAATGTAAGAACTATAGACAAGACACATTTTTAAGTTCAGTCTGCACTTTAAAATTTTTTCTTCCTCATTTTTTAAAACTCTAGATAATCAATAAAACAATAAATCAAGCCTTGGTTTGTAGCATTTGGTGATTTCCATGGTGTAAAACTCCTACCTTGGTCTACTTCAAGCTCCCAATATGATACCACCAAATGTGGAGATAGGAAGAGATGACTGGGAGCACGCAATACATAGTACTTCCACCATAGATACAAATTTCCAAGTAGATATAAATAATGTCAAAACCCTAGATAATGAAATGTAGCAAAATAATTGGGAAATAATGAGCTTTGAGTAGTTACTGGCTTTGTTTTTAATATGACATAGTTAATGTAAATTTAGTTTAAGTAATGCTATATTTAACAATCAGTTTACAAAATTCCTGAAATTTTAAAAATTGGACCTCTATGATCTGGGTAGATTGAGCTCCAACACACCCTTGGATCTTAGGCAGGTTATTTTTTCAGTGCTCCTCTTCATAAAATGAGTTAGTGATGTCACCAGCAAGTAAATGAGAACAAATAATTGTTATTTCTAGCTACTGTGTTATTGTTACATTATTATTATTATCCATAGCAAATGCTTCATGTAAAATTAGTTTCCCCCTGCTCTCAGTACTGTATGATCAGTTCAGTTTTACCCCTTTGGCCCAAGCTCAGGGAACGCAAACTAGGCAGACAGTCAACACACACAAGTACACACAACAATAAATTGTCCAGTGACATGTAAACAGGCTCTGGGTTCCTTCTTCTTTGGATGATAAGCAAAGCCACCAATGTTTCTTTATGTACACAGGGGCCATGAAAGTGGGAGACATGGGTTATTGTTGCAGTTACTCAGCAGGGTCTTTAGTGTTTCAGAGAGAGGAGCTCTCTGCAAAGTGTATATTCTTCCACCCTTCCCACCAACAGCAACCTCAGCAGCTACCTTGGCCTCACCTGCTCAGCCTTCTGGTGGAATACTGCAGACATGGCAAGAATGGTGCTACGTTCATCCAGGGCGGCTGCAAAGCTCTTCCACTCCTGGTCCAGCTGTGTGGAAATCTGCTTGATTTGCTGTGATGCATAATGACCAGCCTCAGAGAGGCGGGAAGCCACGGACATGATGCGGTTGATGTTGACATAGGCATTCTGGAAAGCAAAACAGTGTGTGTGCATAGTGGGGCAGGCTGAAAGGCATCCACTGAGCACTTTTGGGGTGGGTATTTGGGGAAACAAGCTACCCCAAGTAAGAATTATGAGATAGGATGGTATAGATCACACTAGCATATCCATTTTTGGCCCAAGGGAAGTCTTTGTCTATGATAAAATTTCAACAGACAGCAGGTAAGGTAACTGATGCTTTTCATTCTGGGCACCAGCATAGTTTTTGTGCCAACTATTAATGCACATATATGCAGACACTTTGCATGGTCTACCTTAGCAAACCTCACTATCATCTTTGAGGTCATGGCAAGGGGGACAGCATGGTACTTCTACGAGTTACTTTCTAGAAGTAATGGCTCAGACTAGGGAAAAATCTGGAGGAGGCCAAAGCACCTCTCTCGCTCAGGAGAGAGCTTTACACAAGGTATTACTACCACCTACAACAGGGCTGCAATGTACACCACAGAGGGTAAAGGATACATGTTACATGATAATTCCAATCTTCCTATCACCAAGGACAGACTTTGCTGCCCCCATGACACTCCCTCCACCAGAATAGCTGGGGCACTGGTCATCAGTCAGGGTTTAAATAAAGAGAATATTTGAAGCTACAATGGCTTTCCATGCAAAAAATAAGATCAATGGGACATTTTCTTATCTCTACTTAACTTAGGAACATTTCCCTACCTTACCCCAAAAGGCATCTGTGGGGTTCTCCTGGTGCTGCTGACTCTTTTCATCTTGTGATAAGTTCACACTCATTCCCATCATTGATTGCCAATTAAAATTCATGACCAAAGAGGGGTAAGATGGAAGAGGAGTGTCTGGAAGTCACAGTGACCTTCTCACAAGACCAAACTGGAATTACAACTAAATTGTGGAGAAATCGCCAAGAATGAACATCTGAACAATAGCAAGAGAAAAGCTTAATAACCTCAAACAGACAGAAGAATCAGCTTTGGCACAACTTGACTGGTAAGGAGTGCGGTGGAGATACGAGAAGGCTGGCTGGGTGCCCACAGGCAGCAACGCCAGAGGGATACATAAGCGGTCAGTTGGATCCCCCTGAGAAGAGTGGCGTCTAAACCATAAGTGGGCATCTCCAGCCTACAGCAGCAGAGCCCAAAAAATACACATAAAACAGCTGTGAAAAACAGCAGGATTGCTCTCTGCCAGAGATGGGTGGCTGGAGACGCAAAGAGCCCTTTAAAGGGCCAACCTATAAATTTTTATTTGCAGCCACTACCCCTGGGCTCTGGCAATGGTGGCAGCAGAGTGGCCTGGAAACCCCTGAGGAGAGACTGGGGATGGAGGCTTTGGGGAGAGAACTAAGAGCGTAGCCACCAGGATCCCAGTGCTGACTCCTCCTCTGCAAGGCAGCTGCCATCTGGCTCAGGCAGACCACTTCCTTGAGTGGAAGCAGCATGAGAGGACCCAATAATCCCGCCCCCAGGAGGGACTCTGCCCCACCCTGTGGTGTCTAAGCCTCACTGCTGAGTGCAGAGTGACAAGATTAACAACTGAAGGAGGCAGCCACAGACAGTAGATTCCTGGAAGTCTTGAAGAGACTGGCCAAGGTCAGACAGGGACAACTACTGACATCCAGAGGTGGAACCAGAAAGAAAGAACAGCGGTAAATACTGGAGGTTACCGAGACAAAATCCATTATGGTCTTCTCCATGATTTGCAATATTTTCTGTACTATATAGCTTTTTAACATTCATTTTGGGTCCATCAAGTTTGTGCATGTTAAGTAATTAGATTTTATACTAAGAGTTTATTTCTCTCCTTTCTTATAATAGTCTTAATCTCTTTACAGCCTTATTAATACAGGTTCATTTCCTGTTGATAGCGGGATGGCAAGAGGGAGTTGTTTTTGCAGATGTGGGTTTGTTTCCTGGGCTTTGTAGTTTTGTTCTGGCAGCATCTGCACAAAAACACACAAGACATGGTTGCAGAGTGACAGTCAACCAGCTCAAGGGAAGGACCTACCAAAGAATGACCAAACAACAATCAAAACTCAATTACTTCCAGAGAGCCAACATAAATGGCATAAAAGGCATCCAAACAGCATGAACTTCAGGAGATCAAGGAGACTGCACCACTGAATCTCACAGGTCTGCTATCATAGAAGTTTATACTATACAGTCAAGAAATAAAAACAGATCAATTTAAGAAGCAGAAGCAAAAAAGAAAACTCTCACAAATAATGGAGAGACAAATACAACCCCCTATCGAAAGAAAAGGAGAAATCTCCAGCAAGGGAACGAAATCAAATAGAGGGAAGTACACTATCAGATATTGAGATCAAAACAATGGTTATAAGGGAGCTCAATGAACTCAATGTACTCAGAGAGAATTACAAAAAACTACAGGGAAACTACAAGGAACTTACTGCAAACTATATCAGCATGAAAAAAGGACATAGAAACTATAAATAAGAGACAAGAGGAAATGAAGAATACATTTTCTGAATTGAAGAACACAGTAGAAGGAATCACAAGCAGGCTAGATAAGGGGATCAAATCAGTGAGCTGGAGGACAAGGTAGGCAAAACCCTCCTAGAAATAGCAAGAAAATGAAAAAAGACTAAAAAAGAATGAAGAGGCATTCAGGGAAATGCAGGACAACCTGAAATGTAATAATATTGATATAATAGGGATATCAGAAGGAAAAGAAGAGGAGAAAGGGACAGAAAATCTATTTGAAAAAGTAATGACGGAAAACTTACCTCATTGGAGGAGAGAAAAAGACACACAAGTACAGGAAGCACAGAGGGTCCCATTCAAGAGAAACCCAAGGAGGTCCACTCCAAGACACATGATCATTAAAATGGCAAATGGCAAAGACAAACAGAGAATCCTAAAGGCAGCAAGGGAGAAACTGGTAGTAACATACAAGGGAGCCCCGATAAGGCTAGCATCTGAATTCTCCACAGAAACACTACAGGCCAGAAGGGAATGGCAAGAAATATTCCAAGGAATGAAAAGCAAAGGCCTCCAAACAAGACTGCTCTACCCAGCAATGTTCTCAATTAAAATGGAAGGCAAAATAAGGAGTTTCCCAAACAAAAGAAGGCTAAAAGAATACACCCCCACCAAACCAGCACTGCAAGATAAGCTAAAGGGACAGCTTTAAGAAGACAAAGAAAAAGAGTGACAGAGAGACAACATACAAGAACAAATATTAATAAGTACCTATCAATAATAACTTTAAATGTAAATGGACTAAATGCTCCAACCAAAAGACATAGGATAGCTGAATGGATAAGAAAACATGACCCGCACAACGTTGCCTACAGGAGACCCACCTCAGAACAAAGGACATACACAGGCTGAAAGTAAAGGGATGGAAAAAAATATTCCAAGCAAATGGATGGGGGGAAAAAAGCAGGGGTAGCAATACTGGTATCAGACAAAATAGATTTCAAAACGAAGGCCATAAAAAGAGACCCAGAAAGGTACTTCATAATACTCAAAGGAAGAATCCATTAAAAAGGCATAAACATTTTAAACCTATGTGCATCCAAGAGAGGAGCACTCCAATATATAAGAAAACTCTTGGAGGACTTCAGGAAAGATATAGACTGCAACACACTGATTGCAGGGGATTGTAACACCCCACTGTCAAAAATGGATAGATTTTCCAAATAAAACATCAACAAGGAGATTGTGGAACTGAATGACGCATTAGATCAAATGGATTTGACTGACATATATGGAACCTTTCATCCCAAAGAAGAAAAATACACAGTCTTTTCAAATGAACATGGGACACTTTCAAAGATAGATCACATGATAGGACACAAAACTAGCCTCAACAAACTCAAGAAAATTGAAATCATAACAAGCATTTTCTTGGACCACAAGGGCTTGAAACTAGAAACCAATCTCAAGGAAAAAAACTCAAAAACATTCAAACTCATGGAGAGTGAATAACATGCTATCAAACAATGAGTGGGTCAATCATGAGATCAAAGAACTTTCTGGAAGCAAATGAAAATGAACACACAGCAGTCCAAAACGTATGGGACACAGCAAAGGCAGTCCTGAGAGGGAAGTTCATAGCAACACAGGCCTATCTAGAAAAGAAAAAAACATTTCAAATAAACAACCTAACCATACATCTTCAAGAACTGGAGAAACAACAATAAACAAAGCCCAGAGTGAGCACAAGAAAGGAAATAATCAAGATCAGAGCAGAATTGAATGACATAGATACTAAAAGAACAGTTCAAAGGGTCAGCAATTCCAGGAGCTAGTTATTTGAAAAGGTAAACAAAATCAACAAGCCTTTAAGCAGACTCGTCAAGAAAGAAAGGGAGAGGACCCAAATAAATAATATCAGAAATGAAAGAGGAGAAATAGCGACTGATACCACAGAAATACAAAGGATTGTAAGAAATTACGATGAACTATATGCCAAGAAATTTGAAACCTCGATGAAATGGACAAATTTCTAGAAGAATATGACCTTCCAACACTGAATGAAGAAGAAGCAGAAAGCCTGAACAGACCAATAACAACTGGTGAAATCGAATCAGCCATCAAAAAACACCCAGCACACAAAAGCCCTGCATCGAGCAGTTTTACAGGAGAATTTTACAAAACATTTAAGGAAAAGCTAATCCCTGTCCTTTCAGACTATTCCAAAGATCCAAGAATAGAGAAGGCTCCCAAACTCTTTTTATGGGGCCATCATCATCCTAATCCTAAAATGAGATAAAGACACAACCAAGAAAGAAAACTACAGGCCAATATTGCTGATGAACATAGATGCTAAAATCCTCAAAGAAAATGTTTTCAAACTGCATCCAGCAATACATTAAAAAGATAATTCACCAAGATCAAGTGGGATTCATCCCAGGGATGCAGGATGGCTCAATATTCACAAATCAATAAACGTAATATATCACATAAACAAAAGGAAAGACAAAAATCACATGATCATATCAATAGATGGGGAATAAGCACTTGATAAGGTAC